CTGATTTCCCTCCAGGAACGACCGTCTCAGGATACTTACTTGTCTACCGCGGAGCCTCCCTTCTCCTCCCCTTTTTCTTCTTCCTTCCTTTTTCTTTCCTTTCATCTCTGTTCCCGCTTCCTTTTTATTCTTCCTTCAACTGCTGAGCCGGCAGATGCGATGAAAAAATACCTCCTTGCAACGAGAGCATGTCCGGTTGACAAGAGTGCTGTAGCCCAGGAACGACAGGCCCAAACCTACATTTCCTTTTCGCTCGGGACGCCCATTCGCTCGGAGCTCTGATTCTCCCGAATGTCGAGTCGCAAAGTATGAACGCAGCTCCAGGCTTAGTCTACCCTCCATTACGCTAGGGAGCCCTTCAAATCCACCACTCAAAGATTACTGGTGGTCTTTTTGATAAGTATAAAAGCACTATCAAGCGCATGATTTCAGCTGAATGCTATACCCTGTCCGGGACACACGCTTCGCGGGCAGTTTAAGCTCGAGCAAAACTGCACACGAAAACGCTAGGATATACGGGCGTAGGCTAAATCGATAGCTATACCTTCCCAATCGCTCGGAACGTTGCCCTGGCGAACGCTGACGCAAACTATGAACGCAGCCTGAGCCTACTTGCAGAGAATCACTATCCCCTTTGAAAGACTCGGACGAGCAAAAGTCGAGAAACCAACTGACTTTCGCCTCAATCACAAATTACGCACGAGTTCGCATTTATTAATGCAGCCGTCCCGAAGATTATGAACGCAGCACGACCGTGTTGCGTACGCGCGCACAATTACCACGTGAATAGCACAAGATACGGAACGATAAATGGAAATAGCAGCGCATGACTAATCATCATCAGGTCCACCAGGGCTCACATATTGGCATTTGCCAAGGTAGATATTCTATGAAAGGAATGTCCTCTCTTATTATTCCATACAATGGACAAATTCTGCACGTTTTTATAGCACAACAATTGACGACAATTCTTGACTACGACTGACCAGAACACAATTCCAAAACACACGCACAAATCACGAACAATAATTAATGAAAAGAACCCGTTAGTTTCCAAATAATCTGATAATCATGATGATAAGCACAATTTTGATTTGACTGCAATTGAGCGACATATCTCTGGATGAGTGGTGTTAGAAATGTTGGACAAATCCCCATAGATGTCGCTAAACATATTATAAAACGAACATCCATTTGGCACATTCTAATACATTTTTTTGGAAAAATTTTTTTGTAAGCTATAAAATGAATAGAGGCATCATAAAAGACTGAAACAATATAAACAGGCACAGTAATTATCAAAAGAAAACGCAGAATTGAAGCAGAAATGTCCTTGGTCCCCAGTACCGTCATGGGTACAGTCTCGTTCGCAGCGGAAGCTGAGGCGTGTCAAGGGGCTGGTGGCGGGACGCCAACCCGTATTCCACCTATTGTCGCCTGCTCGCTTCAGCAGTTGGTGGAAAACGGGCTGGCACCATGCCAAACCCAGTAACCCTGGAACGACCCAACTTCCGCAATGAACGACTACAGCTACCATAAACCAAAAAGAGATTCTTGAGGAATTCCGAGGAGATTCCACCGGTATAAACGGTCAGTGATCAGTAGCATCATGAAAATACAAAATATCATAGATCAGATTGGTTAGACCGAATATTCACAGGCCGGCTTGCTAAAATACGGTTCAACCAGTGGATTCAGCCATCGTACTGAACAGGGCCCACCGAAAACTGATTGCATATTCTTCTTCCATGAGACCACTTTCTGACGATCTTCATGTCCACTGAAACCTCAACATAGTAACAAAGAAGCTGAAATTTGAACAACCTTACATATACTTCATATCCCGGAGATGTGGTGGGCGAAGCGCGATGATGCTCTTCATCAGAACGTGGGGGCGGTTACCCTTTGGTGCTATATTTCCATTTAAAGACAGCTGTAACTACGTCTTTACCCTGCGCAGAACAGGAAAAGCTGTTTCCAATAGAAATCGCCGCCTGTGGAGGCATCGTATGCCGTGTTTAGATGGAGCGCTCAGCCACCCCACCCCATCTTCGCGATAGTGTATTGTCAAAGCCAGTCTTCAACTTTGAAACGAAATTTTCTTCAAGGAAGGCAGTTCAGCGCATCGAGTAACTGCATGTAATTCTGTAACGGACTGGCCACGGAAAACCGGATGCCAAGAGCCGTCGGGCACCAAAAACGAACGTCTCATTCGTAAACGAGAATCCAAATGATAATTGGGGGCGAAGTTCCAGCAGAAATTTGGGGCATCAGAGGTTGAGAATGGGTCGTAGAAGATGTGGGTGACTTGGTGACTTTCAACAGCATGCGCTACTCAGTAAAAGAAAACCAGGCGCTGTTCGGCTCGGGGGCGAGTATTTTGTTCGCTAGTTTTTTTGGTAGTTCCTGTTGATATGCACGTCTTATCCCGGACAGAACCTGCGGACTCTTGTCAAGTTTAAAGAAAGTTCTCGCTCTTTCATAGCTTTCTAAGAATTCGCAGGTCTCTGCAGGAGGCATGGGCAGCGATCAATGGGAGTAAACAAAATAGGCCTGCCAAGCCGAACTGCACCCAATGCTGCATGTCGACTAGAAGACGCTAAAAACGGTTCGCTCCCGCTCTCAAACAAGTATTTAGGTCGCTACCGCAACGTTTATTCAGCAGAGTGTTTAAAACCACCCACACACAGCCGCCCCGTGGCCATTCTACAGCTGCCTTTTCAAAGCCTCTGCGTCAAGCGCAGTCATAGTCCCTGTTCTGAAAGCATCTGAGAATCCGCAGAAAGGAAATGTGTTACAGATAAAACTTCGTCAATTAGGAGGACCAGGGAGCTCGGAGCTGCTGAATCCCATCTCCGAGGAAATGGCCTTGAGGTTTAGCGATCGGAGAATGAGCGGAGTCGATTAGTCTCTACCCTTATTCCAAGTATCCTACTCCCTGTCTGCCCTATTTTCCTATTTGCTAGATATGAAAGAGTTCAGTGGATTCCCTCTCCTGAGACTGCCAAAATGCAGGATTACAACGCGTCTTGTACATTCCCTAGCTCGCCTCATGTCTCTGAGTCTCTTAATGGCCACGACTGCTTTTCTCAATCACATTTCTTTTCTCAAAGATGGGATCGAGCTGCCTGCCGCTTTGCTCACGGTCGATTGCGGACTACTGTTTAGCTCAAACTTCTACATGGCGTTTCCTCTTTATGGTCAGTGTGCTGTCGAAAGCCCTCTTCATAAACTTTCTCTCCGACGCATTCAAACGTTTGAAGTCTCAAAGTTCTGTTGGAGTGTCTGCCCCAAACATTATTAAATGCCTCGTTTACGGGTGAGGGCTTTACAAAATCTTTACCATGCGTTCCCACACATGGTTCCGAGACAGCTTTCGCTACTTTAGTGCTAACGCGACGACAATAAATTAGCCGAAGCTCAATTCGCGAGCTTCAAAAGCTCTGAAGCGACGAAAGCGGCAGTAAATAGGTCCTATGCAGATGGAATTCGGCAAAAATGTCCTCATATCGCTTCTTTTTTTAGCTGACAAGAGAATGAAGACTGAAAATCCCACATCATCCAAAAAAACTTTGCACTTGGAA